TGGCTGAACTTGCCAAAGTTTGTTTCCTGCTGTTGGTTACTGCACCCTCATTGCTGCCAACATCAGTTGCTTCCTAACTCAGTGTTGTCAAAAGGTGAGATTATTTGCTTATTCCTTGAATTCTGGTTTGCTTGTTTCTAAGCCTGGATCATTTCAACAGAACCAGGTAGATGAAACTGTATACAGTCACTCTAGCAGATGGTATCCTCTGCCCAGGAGATAGTATTGATTAACTCGGGGAAACAGTGCTTAACAGGGGGATGTTGCATTTGGAACAGAAACATCTAGCTCCATCCTTAGCTATACCTAGCAAAAGGTATACTGAAAATGCATGATGAATTAGACAAGGGATTTCTCTTGAATGTGGAGAAACAAATATGACAAAGATTAAACAGTTCATTGTCTCATTCCTGGGTCATTTTATGTGAACAACGCTTTAGGGATCCAGTGGGACTCCCTTCTGCAAACCTTTCACTTGTTCTCTATGAAAGTGTAACTTTCAGGTTCACAAGACAGGTTCGTGCTCAGGTTCACACAATAGGTCAGGTTTACAAGACAGGCAGTAGCGCTTAGTTAAACTCACTAATGTTTTTCTTAATACGCTCAATGATAACAGTACAACAGAAAATAGCTTAACCTTATCCATTCTCTTCTGCACTGGTGCTGTGACATAAATAAAAATTCTGGTTTCAATGTGAGGTAGGGATGGAAAAGTAGTTTCCAACTATGTAAATAGCTTTAAGGAAGGCATAGAAACATGACTTAAATAGACACCATGTGTTTTGTTTGTTTTTCTTTCTTTTACCGAATAACTGGCATTGTCATTTAAATATTGCATTCATATTGGTCTCTTAACATTCATAAGAAATAATAAGAGATGGAAGATAAAAACATTGCCATCTCGTATGTATATGTGCAGTAGGGTGATGTGAAGATAGTAAACGAAGGGAAAATCTGGAGTTTCTCTTTGCCTGTAGGTATTCTAGGTAAGCAGTGGCACTACAGAGGTGGTAGTGAAATTACTTAGTAATACTGGGGTTTTAAATTTTAATATGATCACTTGGGAAATAAGGCTGTATGGGTAATTCCACAAATACCTTGTACCCACAAATACCTTGTACTGCTAGTGAGCTTGTCATACAGCCATGAGAAGCTTGTTGTGGGACTTGAATTTCTATGCAATGAGAGTTATCTTGTGTCTATGGGTTCCTGTAGGTTTGTTGCTAGTGGTTATTTGATTAAGAGGAATCGTGACCCACAAAAAAGCTCCACTTCATCTGTCATAACAAGAGACACTTTCACTTAGCACTTGTGTTTGCCCTTTCTTTTACCAGGGAGAAAATAATATCTTTTTAGAAGTTCCTTATATAAAGGGCAATTAAGCTTTGCTTAAGGCTAGCCATATCTAAAATTACTTCTATGGGAGGCCGTGGCAATTCCATTTTGGTTTCACACATCTGGGAATTAATAAAGTGTCAGAACTGTAGATAAGTACATAAAAAGTGCAAGGAGAAATTAATAGTGCTCTGAATCAAGTCGCTGCTCTACAGATCTCAGCCATGTATCTAATTCCAGAATTCGTCCAAAGTTTAAAATTAGAATCTGAAGATTTGCAATGCACACACAGTTGTTCATGATGGATGGTTATTCAACAGCTGGAAAACCTGTCCTTTTCCATGAGCATCTTCAGACCCAGATGAAAGCAGAGGATAATATCTGTGCTGAGTGTTGAGGGGGTTTGTGTGTGTTGGCTTTTAGTGTCGTCCCTTTCTGATGCACAATGAATTTTATCCTTCAGCACTAGTCCCAATGAAGTGAAACAGATGTGGAATGGCACAGAATTCTGCATGTGAAATTCTGTGCCAACCTGCACTTCAGACCCTTTTACTGTTACCGGTTGTTTACAGGAATATCTATGTTATAAGATAAAGCGGAGGTAATAAGCTTATTTTATACATGTATGATGGTAACGTGAGAAGAAACTTTCAGTAAATACCAAAATGTAATTAATGTAGTCATGAGAAGGAAGTAAAATGTTTCTATTTATAGTGAAAAGAAGTGACAGCTACCTCACTGAGCCTTTCTTAATGTTAATTAAAAATAGATTTTTTTTTTTTTAAAATTTCTATTTCTGTAAATATGGACAGAAGAAAATAACAACTAATTCCACTGTTTGAGAAAGAATGAATGACTACTGTGCTATTGGGATCCCTAGTAAGTTTGATAGGTATCCTTAATTTTAGAATTGTATTTTAAAGATATGTGCTAATATACAAGACTTAAAGCAATTTTTTTAAATGATAAAAATTTAGTATTGAAAAAATAATTGCTGAACATACTACATAATAATAGCCATTAATACAAAAATCTACATTTCAAAAAGATAAGCTTCTCTTGTGTTCTGGAAGAGCAAATGGCATCTGATACACATGATATCATCAGAGGAGCTGAACAGCTTTTCAGAGAGGATACTATATGCTAGGTTCCAAGGAATGGCATAGATAGGTCTGCAGAATGTGGAAATCTGATAAACTTGTTTTCACTACTCTAGCAAATCTCTTCTGCCTGGAGTATCAAGGTACATTTCAGTCTGACTCCTTAGCAGCATCTGTAGTAATAATTTGAAAACAAATATAAAATCTATGTAGAATTGCTGCACGCGTTAAAAATTCAAGCAAATTCATTTCATTGGTAGCTTTTGACAATTTTCAAAACAGTCAAAGTGTTATAGGAGCCTGAGTCACATCAAGTTTCAGGAGGATATATAGATAGTTCTTGTTGTTGTTGGTTTTGGTGGTTTGGGGTTTTTGGGGTTTTGTTTTGTTTTTTTTTCCCTTCTTCGGCCTCACTCAATCTTCAAACCAGTGCTTGTTCAATTGTTTTAGGGTTTTGAATCTGGAAAACTGATTGTGCAAGAAACTAAATCTTTTTTTTAAAAAGTTGTTCATAGGAACACACCATCAGAATTTCAAAATGTTCCAGTGTTAAGAAGTTAAAATGACATTTCAAGGCTGTCTTAAGACTTGTGGTGCTGTGCTGAGAGGAAGGATGGTTTGAGAAACATGTACTTTGTTTTCCATGACATGCTTTTTGTGGTTCTCTGCATAGATCTTGATGATAGTGGAAAAGCTAATGCTTTATATGCATGGTACAGACCGTTCAGTAATTATAATCTACCAGAAACTTCTCTGTGGTGTTCTTCAATGTTCTGTCATGTATTGAGTATCGAGATTTGATAGATCTCACCTTTGTGAACTATATTGCACTTTCAGTTTAGGTTATTTATTATTTGTATGGTATACAATGCATGCTGTGCATTGCTCAGCCCTTTGCTAAAGAAAGGTAGCCATCTGCTGCTGCTTCCTCCTCTTCGTTCAGTGACACGTGGATTTAGAGTAAAGGATTTGCCTCAAATGATTTGGAAATAGCTATTTAGTTAGTATGCACTACAATTATTAACAATTGAACTTTTACTAAATAAGGGATTAACCATCATCTTTAGATGTATGGTCTTCTGATACTGTATTCAACTTGTATGCGCCAAATTACTGGAGAACAATTATGTGCATCATACATATATTTTATATTTAGTACATCTATCAAATAGCCAGTGCTTGTGTGTTCTGAATTCTGTGCTTGAATTTAAAGTCATCCTCCTACCCCTGTCTCCTTCTCACAGAAATGGCCGCCTTCTCTTATCGGTTTGACCTACCTACCTATGGTTTTTATTTCATATGGCTACTTTTTAAACACATCTGCATTCTTGCATTTTGGGCTTGTTTACTATGTATCATTACGTACCAATTGTTTTTTGTCCTATTCTCTGTTGTTTGGATGCCTTTTTTGCGTATGGAATATCCAGATTGGCGACCTTTATAATAGAGACATTTTTCCTGTCTGTAATGTCACTTTAGCCTAAGAAGGCCTTTTTCAGAGTTACCGTCCTTCCTCTTGATAACACTCTCATTACAATTGTTCATGTTTTCCCTTCTACTAATGTAAGTTGGTCACGTCTGTTCGTGGCTCTGTAATCAGGCACTCTGCACTAAAATCAGCTAAAATGTACTTGGAGACAGAACTGCGAGAAAGAGGCATGCAAAATGACCTCAGAACAGAAAACATGTCGTTCATTGCTGCTTATCCTCTGGACTTCTCGTTTAACACGTCCTCCAGCAGGTAGTTGCACCCCCTGCTTTTGCCTAACATTGCTGTGGCTGGTTTCTTTGTTCTTGCTGTAGTGGATCATACTGACCTATTTGTCTTCTGTGAACTCTGGACCAGCGGCTGGAACAACGTGAACATATGCAATGCTGCTCTGGTCTCCTCCCACTTTGCACTGCTACAAATTGCTATATTGGGTGATGGGTAATGCCATATGTGCATAGACCATATGGTATTTTCTCCTCAATCTACAGTTGGCTTGTTCATCATGCATTGTAATATTTTGCTGTATGAGTCTAAGTTCAGTTTGTCCTTTGGAAGCTGTTTTTATTTGCTAGAATTAGAGCAGTGTACTTACATGGAAAACTTAATTTTGCAATAAACAATTATTGGTAGTAAAGGATACAACATAATGCTATAGATTCAGCTGAAGATAACCCTTAAAAGGAAAATGTTAAAACGATGTCTAAATCCTTATTGTTAAGGAATCGAGCAGTGTAACTTGTGGGTCGTTTTCATTACCATCAATATGGGGAATGAAGCTTGGAAAACTTGCCTCCCGAAGAGTTTTGTTTTCATGAGTACTGAGTTTTGCCTTTAAACAGGGAGAAGCACATTAAATGCATGCTAATTATGAGTTTCGCAGCAACTTGACTGGTAACTTGAGGTCTGTGTCTGTATCCACATTCTGCATTCTTTGAATTCATCTTGGTATAATATTTTTAAATATTTTAAACAGCAGATGTGCATTGCTTATAGATTTGTGTAAATGTTGATGCACAGTATACAAAATATGTCTCCCATACAATGATCTGTTGACATTATTCTCTGTTGCTTAGCTTCAGACAGTAAAGTCATGACATGTGCTGCTGTTTGGAGGATGCCGAAGGAATTGGAATCAGGCAGTCATGAATCCCCTGATGATTCATCAAGCAACACTCAAACCCTGGAGCTACTCTGTCACCTTGACAACACAGCCCATGGCAATATGGCCTGGTAGGATTCTGCATATTTTATATTCCTAGAAAAAGCCTAAAGGATAGACCTGTGCTGTTAGTTTTGTGCAGAATTATATTGCAGAACCTATGCTATACACTTTAAAACTATTCCATCTTTAAGAAAAAAAAGGTACAAATTGGGTTTTTAGTCCCAGATGTTTCATAGATTAAAAACATTTATTATAGTCCTGCAAACACATATGGAGTAACAGCCTGTGTACTGTTTTAATGTGTTTTTCCCCACCTGCCCCCATCTAAAACCTTTGTTGCACAAAGGTATAATACTTAGTATTTCAATCTTCTTATGGAATATAAATTTGATGTTGCTCTTCGGTCTTTGTTTTTCAGTCTTCACTCAACTGATTTGGCATAAGTGCAAGTAATTTAATGTTTGTTCAGGATAATAATTCATTATATTATATGGTGCCTGTTTAACTACTCTTTTCTGTTGCCTAAGAAAAGACACGGAGAGCTGCAGTACTGCAGAGGGTATTACAGAGGCTTGTTTCCCTTTCCTTTCTGTTATTTAAAAGAAAGTTAAATTAGTCCATTGTGTATTTGCAAGTTCTTTGCTTTATGGGTATGTATATGACATGTTCCCACTGCTTCCTGAACAAATGCAGGGCAAAGAAATGTTAATACACTCAGTCCATATTTTACAACTACAATGTTGTTTCACATAATTTTGGGACCACCTGATCATCTTCCACTGGCAGGAAAAGTTGAAACCGTAAGAATATGGTCTGCTGTAGTCCCAGGAATGTCTGTCTGTCAGAAAGAATATGGAGTAGTAGGTGATCATGCAAGTTGTACAGTCCCTTTCACAATTATTAGAGATCTTTAAGGAAAAAAATGTGGAATAACACAGCAGATTTTTGTAAATGAAATGTGACAACTCTGAACTGAAACTGAACAAGGATTATGCAACATCAATGTCTGATATTGCTGTAGGTGTCTTACAGGAGAGTGGAAAGGGCCTCTTTGGTTTCTGTATTCAGACACCTGCTGTGTAAGGTATCCATCATAATCTCATTATACTTAAATATATTCTAGTAGGAGTAACTTTAAATTATATCGAAAAGGAACAATATTTAGTCAGTCTCAGTTCCTTTTCAAAATCTGGCCGCATAAAAATTTCTATTCATTAGCTAGCTAGTAAAAAAAAAAAAAAAGGTAAAGTAGACTTTAGAAGAGATAGTTAATTCAGTTGATTGTTAATCATACATTGTACTGTAAGTTTTAAGCATCTATTTCTAGCTACTGATTTCTAGTTTGAGCCTTGTGGATTAAATTTCAACTTAAAAATAAAAAGTAAATAGAAGGTAATATTTATTAGATGGTTCTTGGACAAGATTGGACATATCAGTGTATTCGAAAGTGTGTTGTCTAGGCTACTTCCTTCTAAAATCTCAGCTTCCTAAGTGTTAATTTCTTCATGGTAGTATCTTTTAATTCTTTGCTTTGCATTTTCATATGAATATTTCTCTTTAACTCTTTGATTATATTAAACAATTCCTTTTTTATTGTTGAAACCTTTTGATAATTAGTTTCCAATATAGTTGGGAATACTATTTTTTGTTTGTTTTAATCTTCACCTTTTACGCCATAAAATTTGTACTTTTTGTCTTTGAGTTTTCCATAATCTGTTTCTATCCGATGCTGCGACGTCAGAACTCTGTGTGGTAGCTTGATCACCAGAGGAGGAATAGGGGGCATATCACTGCTTTATATCAGGATGTGAATTTACGTGAATGACAAAAATCAGTTTTTTCCTCTAATATAGCTTGTAGCAAGTTCATGTGCAATTTGCTGTCTCCTGTTTTCTGACTTTGTTCAGTACTAGTGCTCACAAATATCTGCTGCCATTTAATACCTGTTATCTGTGTATGTGTGCATATGTATGTGTAAAGATTTGAAAATGTCCTGTGTTACAGAGATGAAAGGTATAAACGGAGTACTTGGCATTAGTACCCCTCACATCATCTCAGGCAAGCACAGCTGAGTTAGAGGATCTTGTTCTAGAGCAGGCTTTTCTATTCCTGCCTCAGTCATAGTGGAAACAGCTCATGTAAATGAGTAAAATAAACATTTTATGCTGATGTGTGTCACTTAACAGGCCATGTCTCACTGAGTGGTGTGTTGACTACGAATAGCAACTTAAATATTCTTTTCTATTACACACTTCAGATGTTTAGAAAAGTATGAAACTACTTGAGGCACTTACAGTACAATTGTTGTTAGAACCAACTATAAATCAGAAAAAACATTTTCCTCAATGCAAAGTGTAAATACTTTTCAAACTTCAATGTAAGACCAACATTCTGGTGTACACAGTCACTTTGTATGAGATCAGCGGTGGTCTGACATCATACAGTCGCAGTAAGAAGGGCAGTGCTTATTCTGGCTCTGTCATGTGCCTTGCCATTGGAGCATACTCTTGTACATTTTACTCACAAAACACAGGCTGAACACTGAACCCAGGGGTTCAGCGTGACCACATGCACTTTAAGGAGGTTGTTTAATCCACAGAGCACGGTAGAGTAATGTACCACAAGCACTACCCTCATTAAGAGTGGAAAAGTTTTTAAGTCATGATAGCTTTTGAAATTATACATTTTAGATTTGAGAAAGACTTAGTTTTTTAAACTTAATTTTGAAAGAGATTAGTCAGAATGCATGCTTAAAATAAAAAAAAAAAGAGTAAAAACATAAACTGGGCTTTCATCACATCTTCATATGCTGGGCGGAGAAAGTGCCGTAGTTGACAGTAGAGTTGAGAGATGCAGGGTGTAATACCGATCTCGGCCTTTGTGGCACTTAATGTGAACTTCTGTGATTCCAGCTAGTAGCTCACGGGAAGGTATTTTGTGTGTCTCGACATCCGTAGCACAGGTGCTTCGCAATATTCACAAATCTGGGTTGCAGATCATAAGTAATTGAGATCTGACTGTAATTAAAAGGAAAAAAAGCAAAACTGTCTTGAAAATGCAACTGGTTATGTACTCTGGCATCACTGCTTGCCTCAGGGCTTTACTTGCTCGTACTTTTGTTCGTATTTTCCCTGCTCTGCTTTATTTCTTAACTTCTTTTCATTAAGGTTTATCTTATTGCATTGTTTTTCTTTTCTGTTAAGAAAGCCTTATAGTTGAAAAATTACCTCACAGATTTTTCTGTTTCTAGTATCATGTACTAGGGAATGCAAGGGGGGATTATTTTCCAAGTCTGGTGTGTCAGGTATTGGTTTTGTTTAATTATTTACTGGCGCTAAGAAGAACTAATCCTGTGTTTCCTTACCTTTATCTCATCTCCTTTATGGAATTCTGTGCTCAAATGTCTCTGAAATTTCTTCTTAAAAACTAGCAGGGACATATTTAATACCAGTTCTCTTCTGTGAATCAAGACCAAAAGAGCATTTCCAATCGATTGTGACTAAAATCCTAAACTTTCCTCGCGTGTGTGTGAACACTGTGTCCCTCCTGCTCAAGATCTTCTGAAATAATTTTCCAGTCTTGACAAAACTTTTGACAAAAATCTGATCTCCAGGACATTACAGGCAAGTAAAAAAGAAATGTGCTTTTCTACAGTTCTATTTTATTTGGATTGCATGAGTTACTGTGTTTAAAAATTAAGCATAACTATTTGCTTTCAGTTATTGAGATTGTTTACTGCCTCTAAGCTTTGAATCTGGGACCCATCAGAATTTTTACTCAAACTCTTGTATGGCATAGAGTTCAGAAAATTAAGCAGATGCTTAAATTAGGCAAACAAATAGGCCTATTGGTTGCTCTGTTTTGGTTTAAGTTTAAGACTTTTTTCCATCTTCTACCTACTGTTCCTCATGTGAGCCAAAATGCAAAGATTTCAAGTGCAAAATTCCCAAGTGAATTAATTCCAGAGTGAAAAAGTCAAGATACATGGGGACTTGTGTGGTTAAAAAAAAAAAAAAAAGCCTTTTCCATAAATTCATGTTGTAGATAAATGCATGTATTCACACACTGTACACAATATACATAACCATAGGCATGTTGCTCTATGCAATGTTTTAAGATTCAGTAATTAAAGGAACTTGCCATTGGATATCTTGCAAGAAGTAGTCCAAGGTACAGTCTGCATAGGAGAGGCCAAGGAAACAGGACAGCAATCAATGAGAATTTGATTACTCCTCTGAGTGCAGCTTGGAGGAATCCCTAAAAATGTGTCTGTTAAAATCCTGAAGAATTATGTTTTAAGAGTAACCTTCTGTTCTACTTCTTCCTCAGTTTTCCTACAGACTTTTTTGATAGCAGACTTGACAGGATAGTCCTCAGAGAAGGAGGATACTACAGGCCATGAGAGAAAGTGTAATCTGTGAAATCTTGAATTCAGAACTCAGCAGGGACTTTTTTCTTTTGTCAGAGGTAAAGGTGCAAAGCCAGAGTTTCTTCCCTGACATCTGCTGGAAGCAGGCCTGCCTATGTCTGCTCAACATGCTACTTTTTGCTTTCCAAATTTGACAGGTATAAAATAGGGTAGATGCTGCTCAGTAGCAAGGTATGTGCTTCAAAAGAAAGGGGGAACAAGTGAACTAAGTTGGATAGTGGTCCATAGAGTAAATTTGGAATAAAATAAAAGCAAAATAAATAAGGGGAAAGTGTTAGATGGGCAACGTAGGTACAACTGTAAAGGGAAAATGAGTGGAGATTACAGAGACAAGAAAAGTGGGAGCTCAGTTGTGGGAGGCCTGAAAGGTGAGGAAAGAAGAATTCACGTTTTGTATAGAAAACAATAGTCAGCTGCTAAAGAAAGTTGGAAAGGGATGAATATGTTAAGAATAATGATAGATTACTTCATTAAGCTTCTCTACTTGCTGAAGTTGAATTTTTTTTTTAGTGTATCCCACTCAATTGATCCTAAATATGGACTTGCAAATATTACCACATCTAAGAGAAATTGGAGAAGACAAATTATATATTTTTTTTTTAAAGTCGCAGATGTTTCAAGAACTCAGGGATGTTTACT